CAGGAATATAGAGACCTAGCAGAAATATGCATGACATTACTTTAATACCTCCTTTAAAAATAAAGCTGGGTTTTAGCACTCAGAATTTTCCATTGCCATCAAATACTGAGGTGAAAGACAGAAGCACTATATTAATAGCTCTGTTCTCAAATATTTCAGTTTATCCACTAAAAGCATTCACCACCACCTGGATTGTGAGTGAAATTTATTAGCCAACAGGGGTTTAATAGAAAAAGACTTAAAGCTCAGACAGTCCCTGCAAAATGCATTTCTTGGAGTGCAGGGCAATCTGTTTATTTTATAGAGCACATCTACACAGGAGAGGATGGGACATGGTTAGGAGGCACAATGCTAGTCTCAGGAGAGAGCTGACTCCTGCCAAACAGAGACTTCTATTTGTTTTGTGTTTAACAAAAGCAAGACTCATTTCAGAAACAATTCTTCCAGGCTCATAGCCCTAGACCAAATCAGAATATGCATGTTTTAATATGTTTCTGTTTGGCTCCACATCATGTCAGAACATTCTTTACATAGAGCACAACAACTAAAACTAACTTGCATCTTCCAAGTCATCTTCCAAAAGTAAAAATTTCTTTAAAATAACTCCTGTGAAATCAAACTCAGTACAAAAACCTTGATTTGTTTAAACCAGGAATGTTTGTGGGTTAACTCTCCTATCAGGCAGGCTAAATTCAGAATTGTGCAGGGCATTAGTGCATTCCTGTTCCTCCAGTGTTCCCAATAAACCAGGAAAAGAAAAACAGGAGTAACTATATGCTCTGCATATAGATCTATCCCATGTAAATAAAACAAGAACATATGCGGGTTCAAAGAGGAGTGATACTTGCTCTCCTTGTTCTATGAATATAGGAAAATCAAGGGGCAGAAAGTTCAGCTGCAGAGTTCAAAAGGTTCAGCTGGGAGTTCAGCTGCAGAGCAACCTGGCACCTAAGTAAATCTGCAGTCCCATGAGCCATGGCAGCAGGTACAGTGGCTGCATTTACCCTGCAAGGACCTTCTTTAGGTTCACCTTCCCTTAAAGTCACTGTTCCCCTCTTCACAATGAGGGGGCAGCTGATGCTGAATGAGGCTCTGCCTAAGGCATGTGCCAGATCCTTTCTCTTTTGTGCTCACACCCCTTTTACTGCTTCTTCCTGCTGCTTCTCCATGGCAAATGATGCCCAAAAGGGATTTTTCCATGGGCTAGAACAGGGCCAAAGAGCTCTGCTGAAAATGCAGCAGGGAAATGCAGAGGGATCGTATATATGCTGCAGGGTGAGCTAAGGTGAATGCTTATGCTGAATGCCAAGCTCAAGGAAAGCTGTCAAGTGGGCTAGAAGGAAAGACAGCCCCAAATGTTTTTGCAACACAGGTGCAGCTTCTGACACTTCATTATTTTTACATAATGGATCTAGCTAGCGAGCAGCCACAGAGATAGGGAGGTGTAGTATGATAGAGAGCAGTACAGTGAACTCTTTTTGCAGCATTTTATAATCAAACACTACAATCCTTTGGAAGACATGACTAAAAGTGCAAGTGCAGACAAAGCCACCCTTAGGTAATTCCCTTGATTAAAACTCTCATACTCAAAATGAATCTAATTAAGGACATTGTGAAGGCACAGAAAGTCAGTATGCACTTATGGCCTCTTTTGCAGATGGTGAGTTGCCAAACAGAATTGAGAATCTTAACTGCAAGAACCATCAACAAATTCACACAGGATGGTAAATTAAGGATGGCAAAATTCAGACTGTTAGATAACAGCAATGCTGCCAGATTTCCTGGTTCTTGCATTAGATGCAAAAGGCACTCCCAAGAGAGGACACAGTGCTTTTTATAAAAATGATGAAAAAGGAGAGCCCAGACACATGCCATCCTCAGTGACACAGACAGCACAATTGATGAAACAGGCTACCTTTTCTAGCAGTTTGTTTTTCCTTCATTGTTCGACACTGTTCCCTCCACCACTGTTGAGAGACATCCAAACACATGCTGTCGTCATCTAATAGAGTTGTCACAACTGGCCAGATGTCTGGGTTTTTTTTTCCCCTAAAAGGCTTTTATAGGAGGTAATATGCTTTGATGTGTCACTAGCAGTTTTCATTTCATTAATCAGCTTTCTATCAAAATGCTGATGTCTCACAGATATTTTTCTGTGATAAAGGCAAGTCAGCTAAAAAACACTGTTGAAAAAAAGATAGGGAAAAATATCGACCACTAGAAGTTAATTTCTGTCTGATTTAATTTTCTCCAACTGTCTGCATTAGTCTCCCAGGAAAATAAGTCTACTCAAGTATAGTAAAATGTGCCTATAAATATGTGATACGGATAAGACAGACAGAAAAATCTGTTTGGCTGTGTAGAATATTGTTTGATAAAAAAGAAGCAGAAGGTACTTGGGAATTACAATTTATTTACCTTCACTCCATTCAGCTTCTATAATCAAGAAAAAAATACAGATAATAACAACCTTCAAGTAGGCAATTACCTCAAGGACCACATGTGGTACTCTAGAATCAAAAAATAGCAACCAAGTGACTGGTTGACATATATTCTAATAGAAAGTTGGGTTGTTTTTTTTTCAGACACTCAGAATTGTCTGGATTAGAAAAGACCACAAAAGACCATCTAATCCCACCCACAGGCAGGAATGCCTTTCACTAGAGCAGGATGCCCAAAGTCTCATCCAGCCTAATCTTGAGCACTTCCAGGCATGAAGTATCCACAGCTTCTCTGGACAACCCATTTCAATGTCTCACCAACCTCATAGTAAAGAATCCCTTTTTTATGTACAATCTAACTCTACTGTCTTTCAGCTTAAAAATATGACCCCTTGTCCTGTCATTAAAGATCCTATTTAAAAGTTTGTTCCTGTCTTCCTTATAAGCCTCCTTTAAATGGGGAAAGGCCACAATAACGCCTCTCTTCTCCAAGGTGAACAGACCCTGTCTTTGCTGAAGAAATGCTCCAGACTTCTGACCATTTCCTTGGCCTTCTCTAGACCTGCTCTAACAGATCCACATCCTTCTTATGCTGGGATCCCAGATCTGGACACAGCACTCCAGGTGGGGTCTCATCACAGCAGAGCTGAGGGACAGAATCCCCTCCCTCACCCTGCTGGCCACACTACTTTCGATGAAACCCAGGATACAATTGGCTTTCTGGGCTGGGAGTGCACAGTGCCAGTTCATGCCCAGTTTTTTATCCACCAGTACCCCCAATTCCTTCTTCTCCGGGCTGCTCTCAATTAATTTATCTCACATCTCACAGTATGTGCTGACACTCAGGTGCAGCACCTTGCACTTGGCCTTGTTAAACTTAATGAGGTTCCCACTGGTGCATGTCTCCAGCCTGTGAAAGTCCCTCTGGATGGCATCGCCTCCCTCCAGGACAACAACTGCACCATTCAGCTTGGTGTTATCTGCAAATTTGATGGAGGTACACTAAATCCCACTATGTTGTTGATTAAGATATTAACTAGTATTGGTCCCAGAACCAGTTTCCACTCTAACAGTTTTTAAAAAATAACACTTGAAGTTATTCTGATCTTAGACAATTCTCATGCTTAACAAAAGAAAGTTAAATTCTCAGTATACCATTTTTGTGACACTGTATTGGCTAGGCATTCACAGATACCTAACAAGAGACAAGTAAAGAATACCCAAACCCTTATTTTTCATGGTTTAAGAAACAAGAATCCTAAAAAATGCCCAAGGCATAGTGTTAAGCCACTATGTAAAAAGTCAGGTCATGATGTTGCATTGAGTGCAACTGCTCTTGATTTGCTACAAACGTCCAGCCCAGTTCCAGTTCTCAATGCCTCACACTACCATTCTTTTGCTCATTCTGCAGCCCTCTTAATACAAACACAAAACAACATAAACCACATCACAGTCAGTCCAAAGTCTTTGAAAATAGAAACTAATGAATGAGTTAATAAGTTACTGGCCTAGATCCTCACCTGGTAAAAGACTGGGTAGCTCAACTGTTCAATCGATATTTTTAAGCGGGTCTCATTATACAGATAAACAATAACATAAATAATTTTAACATAATATAAAGACAATCAAAAGACAATCAAAACCCCAGAGCTTACAATCACTTGCAAGATTAGTGAGAGACTGAGGGAGAGTGACAACTTGAATTTGTTTCTCATTCATCTACTCATAAAAGGTGACAAGTTGATAGCTGTAGACCAGCATCATGCTGTGGTCCAGAGCCAACGGAAATGTCAGTGAAATCCTGCCAATTCCTTAGGTGCCATAAATCATCATAGCTCTATTAGTCAGCCCTCTAACTTCCAACACCCAAAGATTTGGCTCTATCTACAATGCATGCTCAGACAAGATATAAATCAAAGCAGTGTCAACTTGACCGCAGTTCAGTTTTTTCCTTCTCAAATATTACTCTGTCTTTGATAGTTAAAAGCAAATCCAACTGAAGTCATCTAATTTGCAGCAGGAGGAAAGCATTTACAGCAGAAATTTCCTATAAACTCAGCAGACCAAGTTTTACTCATTATCCATCATCCCAAAAGCTGTTGTTACCTATGCTGGGCAAATTCCCACTTAATAGTCCATAAAGCACTTGGAATCATCAGTCTTTCTTCCGTGAGAATGTGGAAAAGGAAAGATGCATCTCCCCTTTCCTGCATCACCACCTGGATCTGGATGACTCCCAGCTGGGGCCCAGTTACAGAAATCAACAGTAACTCCGCACTCCATCATCAGCCTATACCACGCTTGTCACCAATCCCCACTGCTCCAAGTTGAATGCATTAAATTCCTTAAGAGTCTGAACCTCTGGAGAAGCACTGCTAAGCCACAACACAACATATCAACAGTTTAGGCTTCCCAATGAGCTTGGTCTAGACTTAGGACTCGTTACTGTTCTTTCTCAAATGCATTAATTATGGAAACTTTACCTGCCCAGGGCTGCTCCAAGCACAGAAACTTACCATTCAGTCCCTCAAATCTTTGTATTAAAAGACTCAAACTTACGGCAGAGTGCTGAATGGGTATCCAGGCAGGTGTTTCGACTGAGCATTTGTGAGATGGGCATCTGCCATGGCTCTGCTGCAAATAAGTGAAAAGGGCATTATACACAACACAGTACGTGCTGCAATCGCTAGGCGCAATGTGCTCAATTTCATAGGGAGCATCTAGCAGTTTGCTCGCAGTCATCACACCTCACAAAGTCATTTTCCACTGTCATGTAGGAAGAATAATCTGCAGTTTGCAGGACCAAAAAGGCCTCATCAGTTGTCTATTAATTTTGCATTGAAGTTCTGGGCTATGTGGATGGAAATACATCCACTCTCAACCCCATCTGCCTTCCCTCCACAGTGGAGCATTCAGAGAACGGCGGAGCATTAGTCAGCAGGTAGACGTTGGCTTTTCTCCCCCATTTCATGACAGGCTGCAATTTTTCCATGATGTCCTCTTTGAATCAATGAGAGATGCAGTCTGAAACACCCATCAGGGCTATTTTCTAGGAAGAGTAAGTATGCCCCAAATTTTTAGGGCACATTTTTTTTTCTGATCAGAATGCTCTCCTTGCTCCCCAGGTGGGTCCCTGGAGAACCTGAGCAAGTACTCAAGACTCCTGCAGTTCCCTGAAACTTTGCAGAACAAAAGGAGTGAGGGGTTAATTTAAAGTCTAACACTCCACATGGCAGTGCAAGATGCAACCATCAGGCCTTCAGGCTGATCTTCCTGTAATTTCCCTTGCATCTGCTGTGATTCAATTACATTTCAGCCAAGGTCTGGAGCCCATCAGAATGAATTGCACAGCAGATTGGGTCAGAGTCCCTGAAGAAAAGTTCAGAATAAATTCTGGTATCTGCCACCATTACTCTCAGCATTTCACATAAGAGTCAAGCTATTATTTAGCTCCCTGAATTGGGGGACTCTTGTAACCAGATATTTTCCTGAAGCTAGTAGTAGTATGGAAAAAAAAAAAAAAAGATTTCTTCTTTTTATTTTCATTTAAGCTTGATATATCACAAGAAGCTACATTGAACCTTTCTCTTCCCCATGCTGAGAGTAAAGGAGAGAAACCTCTGCAAACACTAATGATTAGATTTCACACAATTTTCAGTTTTGAGTCTAATTTAAAAACTACCAGTGCTATGTTCTTTATCTCCAAAAAGTTAACATTTGTAAAGCAGCACAGTACTACTTTTACAAGCCTAAAAAAAAAAAAAAAAAAGTGACTATCAGATTAAACTTTATATACTCCAAAACTTAAAACTGGTTATCTTTAACATTTTCAATTAGACAATTTCAAGAAATATTTAGAAAAACAGCTAGCAAGCAAGAATCATTGTATTTTTAGATGAGAGTTTAGAAAGTCCTGTTTAAAAGGATTTGAAAAAGTCACTGCTATCATGGCACCAGAATCCTGCAGGTCTATGTTATCTCCTGTAAGGAAGGGATGAATGCAACAGCAAACAGTGTAATCCTATCAAAACAATAAAACTATAAATTCATTCTTATTTTAAAAAACGACATGAAACACTAGTAATTATTTTTTACTTTTACAATTGTACACTTTCATTCTTTATTCCAAGGCAAGTTAAAGGCAAGGCAATTAATAATGTGCTTTGAACTGAACACATTTTTCTGATTGAAAAGCCTGATCTCACAAAGGAAACTATGTATAACTTTGTCAGGAGACTCCTCAAAAAGACTCCTCACATTTTTAAGAGGACACTTTTGCAAAATAAAAGCTCCAAATCTCATAGCAGGAGGGACTTTTTCTCTTCAAGTACTCTTGTCTTTGAGATTCATACCTAAATTGTCCCAAGGCCTAGAATCCCCTGGCACTTGTGCATATTCAAAGGTCAAAGAGACAGCAGTAACTGGGAATTGCTCAGAGGCAGCAGTTCTACAAAGTTCCCCATTTTTCAGGGCAAGAGCTGTGCTGGCTGTTCCTCTGGGATGTAGGGTGACCTGCAGTGTTTGGCCTTTCACAGCTGGATGTTTGAATTACTGTGCTGGTAACATGACATTGCACTGGTACTGTCTGAGAAATGCATGCAGTTCAAGGGCAAGGACTGAACACTTTTCTTCTACAGCTTTCTGGGGATTTGGGGTTAGATTCTTTTTTTAAAATTATAGCTTATTTCTTATTTGAATGATCACTTCTTTTTGTCTTGTGTAAAAACTAATGCTTTTCACACCTTTCATATCATAGACCCACACCTAGTTGAAACAAGTCTTAGATAAAAGTTTGTATATCAGCTGCTGGTAACACTTTTCTTTCTAAATGCTCAGGGCTTTTTAATAGCCAAAAGCTCCAACATGTCACATCTAGAGAAGTGAATTTTAAAAAATAGCCAAAAAGTCAACACTACATAAAGTATTCTGCAGGCATAGGCAATACAAGTAAGCATAGGAATAAATACATTGGCAAATATTTAGAGGCTGTAGAAGGAATTAATTCAATTTGATTATTACTGCTAACATTTTCCTCAGCTTAGGAGTTTGGTAAGCAAAAACACTACAGACCTTGGCCCACCACTACACTGAAAAGGTAAAAATCTCAAAAGTGATGAGAATCCATAGTTTAAAACGACCTTTCTTCAGACAGCCTTCAAGGGAGGACAGAAGAACCTCTAGTTTGTTTTTCATGTTTGCTAATAGTGGTATGCAAATATACCTTGCCCTGCTGTTTGGGAGAATATGTTCTAATAAAAGTTTTCTCCTTCTTTAATGAAAAGACAGGAGCTGTTTCTCCATAGCTCACGAATGAGTGATTTCCAGATTCTTGCTTTACTCCCTTTCTTTGAGGATACTCAGCCTCCTGCACTGAGCTTCACCCTTGAGACAGCTCCAACACAGTGACAGACAGAGCCATCCAGGCAGAGACTTTATCACAGCTTACTGAAATCAAAGCCTTCAAATCACACAATAAAATCTTCAGCTTGTGTTATTTTCATATAAAGAGACCTTGGGACACAAAAGAATAATTTCATTCTCATTGCTGAATTCAGCATCGTTCACAGCTTTTTTTTCTGGGTTGACACTTCAAACACTTGATAAATTGCATAGCAATGATACAGTCAGGAAGCAATGAAGCGATGACCAAAGTCAGACAGAGATGCTACCCCCACATTCATCTAGAGACAGTGCAGTTTCTTCTCTGGAGGCCCTGACACATGTAATTCCCAAACTTACAGGTTTATCAAACCTCCAGAAATGCAAACCCCAGGGGTAACCAGCAGACGCCAGAAAGGCACCAATCTCAGAAAACAAAAAACAAGGCTGCAAGCCCTTCAAAGTCCATGCACAACATCTCCCTTCCTAGCAAGCAACCCTTAAGCAAGCTTCTTTCTTACATGCTTTTCTCAGTCAGGTGTTAAAATAACTGACTGCTACCAGCACTATTTAGGAACATCAGTGTAATGTATTTGGAAATGCATTAACACAATGCAGAGCGGTAGCGCATCAGTGCCCACAGCAATTTTGCAGAGGGAAAAAACTGCACACTGAATATTGAACTAGAAGGTGAGAGCTTTGTAGCACTGCACAAGAGAGGTTTCAGGAGACAAAGATACCACTGCACCTCAGCAAGCTCTGGGGAGGATTTCTAGGAAGAACTCCTCTTTTGTGTTGAGTGACTTCAGGAGCAAGAAGGTATATCTTATTGCTACTTTCTCATAGGCAGGGAGAGATTTTTATACACATGCAATATCCATAACAATACCAAATTTGGATGGCCAAATATTAACATGATTCTGTCTGGAGACACATTCAGAGGCAGATCTTAGCTCTGAAGGAAGATGGAACAAAATCCAGAGAAGATATGAAGATATTTAGGAATATAAAGGTTCAGGGCTGTTTGAACTGCAGGACTCTCCAAGATCTGAATTAATATTCATTCTCAGAGAAGATATTGCTGATGAAAGTCAAAAGAAGTCACAGGTCATATTCCATTTGTATCCACTGAAATGGCCAGGAATACAAATACAAGAAACTGTATACAAGTCCTTGAGTGAGGTCTCTTGTAACAAAAGCATTGGCTGAAGTCTACCCCAGTGGAACATTCTCAGCTACTCCTACATCCTTCCAAATTTTCTTCTCTGATGCTCTGGAGACATGAAAATTGTAGATCTCAACTAGAGGTCTCAAGACTGAGCAAAATATAATAACACACCAGGCCATACCACTGGCCTAATGATTCACTCATAAATAACCATTCCGTTCTCCTTGACTGCACATATCTTCTCATTTTCCAGAAGTCTTGCATCAGGTGAACGGACACAGAAAGAAATTTGCACAGCAGTATCAAGCAGATTAACACAGATAAGAAGTACATGTTTATGTTGAGAATAAGAGCCACAAGACAGATCTTTTCTGCTTTTCCAGCTATGCGAAATGCATAAAAATACAGCTCACCTTGGCACTTGGAAATTATCTTCCCACCTTCACCCAGGTCTTCTATATATCAGAAAAAAGACCTGCTAAGGGATGTATAGTATAGATATATAGGCCTGCTAAGGAATATATAGATAGCTCTGCTATCATGAAGTAGCACTATTATTGAGGCAGCATCAAGCTCTCATCTCCTTTGTCTTGCTCAGTGTCTTCTTCCACTTTGCCTCACCTCTGCAGCCCTCCACTGCTGTGCAGTATCGAGCCCCAGCCATATCTGCCTGAGCTGTTAATTGAACATTTTCTGCTCTCAGTTTACAGAGCTCTTCATAGATTTATGAAAAAAAAAAAATCACCCTTCTCTTTTCTTAGCTCATAACCAGCCTCAATAAAGACATCTCTCTAAAATCACCAAATTATAATCTAATGAAATCTATTGAAAATTTCAGTTGCACTAAACAAGGTCAGTGCTCAGAAGAAATGAAGTGTCACCCACAAATGGAGATCAAAGTAATTCCCTTCCATTCCTGCTGCTGCCATAGAGACAAAGGGAGGGGGAAGAAAGGAAGAAGAAATTTAACAGACTTAATTCTTCCTGAAATTTATAATTAACTACAAGGGAAAAGGGACTATTATCACATTTCTAAAGAATAAAATAAGAAAAAGTTGAGCTTTTGACAAGATATAATTACCAGACA